TCTTTTCAGCATAAAAGGCGCCTGAATTCTGACTTGGGGAAGATGGGTCTCCAGGACATCCGTCTGCCATCTTCTGAGTCAGCAAGCTTTCTGAATAAAGTCGCTATTCCTGGCCCCAATACATTGTCTCCTGGTTTACTGGCCAGTCGTGTGGTGAGAAGAACAGAGTATCAGCTCAGTAAAAATAACAAACAATATAATTAATGTGCAAATACTGAAAGAGTTTTCTCTGTAACTGGAACCAGATGCCAGCTTTCACCCCTTCTATTCAGTACTCTACTGAAGACACTGTCAGGGTAATAATGCAATTAACAACAAAATATGAGGCATAAAGACCAAACCATAAGCAAGAAAACTGTCATTGTGCATGCATAGCATTACTATACGCAGGGAAAATCCACCATAATCCAAAGACATATACAATTAATAACTGAATTAAGGCATGGTTACTGGACTGACGATCAGTGTATAAAATCAACTGGATTATCTTGTATAGCAAGAAAGAAACAAAATAAAATTCACCGGCAAACACCAGACTAGGAAACAAGTATTCACAAGAGAGAAGAGCCAATAAAAGATTAACTTACACAACATTTAAAAAAAAATTCTTCAGGCCTCGTGGGGCCTGGCCTGCCCACCCCACAGGGGCCACGAGGCCTCCCCAGCCAGGCTGGGCCCAGCCCAGGCTGCGGGGCACTGTGCACAGGCCAGCAGGGGCCCAACATCGGCCTCCCTGTGCAGCTGGTGCTCACACCACGCTGGCCCTGGTCAGCAGGCGTCCAGTGCCTGAGCCCAGGGCTCTGGGTAAGAAATTTTAAAAATAAGTCTTCAGGTCAATGTAAGACAAGCACTAAGTACCAACTGGAAAGTGAGCAGACCATACAAAGAAAAATAAGCCCTGGACAATGACAGGCCTTCTGAAAGGCAACTCCCCTGATGCAGGTCCAGGTGAGAGGATCCCAGCAGGGCTCAGGACAGGAGGACAGGAGGCCAGGAGGCTGGATCACCAGGGAGGGGACAGTGCCCTCTGCTGGCGGAGGGTCCAGGGTCCAGGATTTCCAGCAGGGGCTCCAGGTCTCCTGCCTCAGCCTTGGCCCCCACTGTATCGCCAAGCACAGCCCCATGTCAACACCCCCAACCAAGCTGGGAAGGATTCTGATTGGCCAGGTCAGAGAAAGTCATATAAAATGTGACTGCTACACAATAGTCAAGGACTCAACTGTCATCACAGCACTTCCTAAAGAAAAAACCTTAATTTCACCCTCCCATCAGTCTAGAGGTTACAAAATGCTCAAATGAGTATCAGACTCACGTTTTCATCGACTGGGTCACCAACGGTGGGAGAAAAAATGATCCTCTATTGCTGAACTGGCCCATCAGCATGATGCCAGGCTATGGAGAGAGGCTGCTGGTTGTCTCCCCAAAGACACTCCGATTCCTCAGTCCACTGTATGGTCCTAAATAAATCAACAGTTAGTGGCCTGTCTGGGAGCGTGGTGGACACAGGGGTGGAGGGAGGGGTGTAACAGAACTGTTACCAGGGATTTCACCACTCT